AGGGTGCTGGGATTACAGATGTGTGCCACTGCAACTGCCTAAACTATAATTTCTTCCTTTCCTCTCACCCCCTTTGGGGAGTGGGTAGGAGGCTTTATTCTTTTGGCAGTTCCTCTCAGTCATTATAGACATTGCTGCACTATTAATAACAAATATATGCTTCTCTGTAAAGCAGCTAAAAAAAAAAACCCAAGCATGAGATGGCTGAGGTCTCAGCTCAAGTATCTCCACATACATTGGACAGGTCCATACCCTGACCTTTGTGTGTTATTTCTTGGTTGTTTTCTGGATCAATGCCATTTTCTGCTTATGTGCTTCTGTAGTACAAGCTTTTTTGTAAGGCTGGATTTCTTCGGAGCCAAATCCTGGGATTCACATGTTCCACAGGTACTCTAAGTGCATCTAAACGTCTTTCACCTCCAGGGTGCTGGGCTCGCGGTGCCGAGCAAGCTGGCCGGCTCCCATCCCCACACTTTCAGTACAGTCATCAGTGATCTGCAGCAGCATCTCCTCTGCATCTTCATCCAATGGTTCACTGGGATCCACTTCTCTTACTAAGTCCTGCAACTTTTTCTTGGTCAGTACCTGATTGTTTTCAGGACTAAGACAACCTCCTGTCCCAGGAGTCCCTGGTATCTTTACCACTATGTACTGTTGGCTATAGAGCCCTGTGGAGGGGTGCTGGCTGGTTCTGGTTTTATGGATGAAAAATTGGAGAGGTTGATTATCGGGTTAATATATCCCTGAGTTATTGCAGGCTGATCAGGTCTGCCATCTGCCAAAGGAGTATACTGTGAAGGGTAGATACAAAGAGGCAAATAGAATGATTTCAGGGCTCCAGGAGGATCAAAGCCCTCTCACAGTACTAGAGATTCTCTCAGGGCTAAGACCCAGACCTTCTCTGGGTGGCCCATATTTATTTGGTTGTCAGAAGAAGGGAGAGGAGTACTCAAGAAGGGTGGACCCACTCAGGGACCTCTCCAAGTAAGGTATGAAATTAATCCTTAATAAGGCTTAAATTAATCCACCCAGGAGTGAGATGCCTGAGGCTGTAGTCTTTACTTGAGATTGGATCCAGGTGTCCTTGACTGTGATCTTATCCTTTGAGGCTTTCTGGGTTCATCTGCCATTACAGGTTTCAGTAGGGATTAGTGACTCACAGAGGTTCACTTACTATGAGTCCTTCGCCCACTTCCAGACAAGTGGCCTAGACTTTGGACAGATTCACAAGTAAACGTAAAAAGCCAATTGGTTAATTTAAGTCCTGCTCAGGGCTGCTTCATAGTGGTCTCCATCCAGATAAGTGCTGACGGGCCAAACTGGTTCAAAATCTGCTGAGTTTTGGACTTCAGCTCATAGAGCTAATCAAGATCCTGCTTCTTTTTGGAGCTGTGAGGACCAAGGCCAATCAAAGGCAGCAGCTCTATCTCCCTATGATATGCAGAGACTGCCCCAGTGAAGCTGTCGTCTCAGCACGGGTCTGACTTCATGGCCCTCCCTGGGTACTTTCTGGCACTGTTTCCCCCCAACTTTTTTTGAGATAAGGTCTTGCTATGTAGTTTGGGCTGACCTTGAACTCACTCTGTATCCTAGCAAACTAGCTGCAATCCTCCTGCCTCAGCCTTCAGAGTGCTGACTGGCATTATAGGCATGTGCCACCACACCCAGCTATTAATTTAGTGTCCTCCCTGACTCCCCACTTTCCAAGATGCCCTACTCCCCATTACCCTCCAAGCCTCTCCCTCTCCTCTCCCAAGGGAGATCCCTCAGACAGGCTTTGATGGGGAAGGGGTGGAACAGAGTTGGAGGTACCTTCAGGGTCCTGGATCAACAGCACTAGCCTCTGCTGAGTGGTGTCAAAGGTGTCTCGATTGTAGGCTGTGACCTGGGGGGCAGAGGGAACATCCAGATGGATGTCAATAAATATTGACAAATAAATAAATGCAAACTATATACAAAAGTATGTAAATTGTATGCAAATAACCAGGAAGGGACAGTGACACCCGCCCCCCCCCCGGGAGGTCTGAGGGTCCCTCTGGCACCTCGATGATCTGGCGCCCACGATCTCCTGGGGTAGCAGTGCCATAAAGGAAGCCAGGCTTGGTGGGGCTGCGCTGGGTGTAGCGGAGCCACCGGGGCAGGTCCGGGTGTCCCTGGAGGTGGGCATGGTAGGTGACACTCGAAGAGGGCAGGAAGGCTGGGGGAAGAGGCACGGGTTGGAGGCCGGACAGGAACACCCTAAGGGACACCCTTGCTCACCCCTCTCAGCAGCCCTCACCAGGTCCCTCTCACCAGCGTCCTCGGGGGCGCGCAGGAAGCTCTTGTGGTCCAAGGTATGCACAAAGATGCGGCCCACACGCGGGTGGAGAGTGGTGTGCTGGGCCTGCGTGCCCCCCAGCCTGACCTGGAGAGCTGTGGGGACACACAAGTCCTGAACACAGAGACAGCCTCAGGCTTGGCTGGGGGTAAACTCTTCCCCTCCAGCCCCCAGCCCCTGAAGACTGACAGTGAAGGGCACCTTCACTGGCTCAGGAAAAGAGGGGTGGGGGCAGCCCCTGATGTGCTACCTTTTTTATTTTTTTGAGACAGGGTCTTGCTTTTTAATTCTGGCTGGCCTTGAGCTCTTGGAGATCTGCCTGTCTCAGCTTCCTGAGTGCTAGGATAACAGGTGTGTGCCACCACATTCGGCTGTGGACTATCATTTAAATAGGTAACGAGGTCTGCTTTCCTTTGGTTTAGATTTGTGGGAGGCCCATCTCCAGCTAATGTTTAGTTGGTAGGGGTGTGGGGTGTGGGGAATGTTTGAGGGGTGTGTGCATGTGCGCACGTGTGTTAACCTGGAGAAGAGCCCCATGCTAAATATCTGGGAGGCTGGAGAGGAGGGGAGGGGAAGGCACTCGAGGAAGGGTGGCCACTGTGGGACCCGAACCCTGACCTGCCTTCCCTACCACACCCAGAGGCACAGGGCTGCACTAGAGGCCCATGGGAGCGCCTACGGGAGCCTGGCCAAGGGGGCCTGCCCCGGCCACCCCGCCCTCCCTGTTGGGCCAAATTTAGCCCAGGCCTGACCAAAGCAGCAACCGGCCGGCCCATTAAAGGGCCCACGACCCTCTGGGGCTGCTGTACAGCCCAGCCCTGGCCTAGGACACCTCCAGCCCTTGGAGCCCGCAGCCCTGGACCCCAGCCTGCCTGGGCATTCACAACCCATGGCCCCCCGGCCCTGCAGGCCCCGCCTCACCCCCCCGGCCTCTCCCTGGAGGACTCCTGCGCCTTCAGCTCCCCACTCCTGAATCCTAGCCCTTGTGCTAGCCTTCCCGCCAATCCCCGAGGAAGGCCCCAACTTGCCCACAAGGAGAGGAATCCAGGCGGACACTGCTGCCATGGCTGCTCCCGCCTGGCCCAGCCCCTGTGAGTGACAGAGACAGGGGCAGGAGGAGGAGGGAGGGACGGGACTGCGTCCCAGCCTCGGCCAGGGGAACCTCCCCCTCCTGGCCCATTCCTTCCAGGGCGTGCCAGTCCTCACAGCATCTCTCCTGTCATCCCTTCCAGTAAACCACCTACCCCACTACCTGGGTCCCTCCCTAAAACCTGAGTGGGGCCAGGAGGGGCAGCGCATGCCTGTAACCCCACACCTGCGAGGCTGAGGCAGGAGGATCACTGTAAATTTGAGGCCAGGCTGGCTACACAGAGAGACCCTGTCTCAAAAACACAAACAACAGGCCAGGCATGGTGACACACACCTGTAATCCCAACACTCGGGAGGCCAAGGCAGAAGGATCATTGCGAGTCTGAGGCCAGCCTGGGCTACAAAGTGAGTCCAAGGCCAGCCTGAACTGCATAGCAAGACTCTGTCTGAAAAAGACAAAAAAAAAAAAAAACCAAAAAACAACAAAACCCTAGTGACATTCATTGTCCTTGCGCTCCTAGGTCATCCTAAATTGATAGCTTTCAAGCCCTTCTTGTGCTGAGCCATCCTAAGACCCACTCGTAAGGCCCCCAACACACATGTGCACACACACACACCAGCCCTGTGGGTGTATAGGTGACCGGGCTCCTTGGAGACCAGAAGCCCATTACGTGCCTATCCCTGGGCCTGGTGCAGGGCCCAGCAACCCATAGGCGTAGGGAGCTGGGTGACAGCTGCCTTAAGAGCAAGTGGGGTGCGAGCTGTCCCGGCCTCGGCCCGGCCAAGCATCCCCAGGGCATAAATCTGGGCAGAGACAGGTGGGGCGTGTCGAGGGGCCCCTGTGGCTGAAGTGTGTGGGCTGATTGCACAGGCCTGGAGGCTGGGGCACGGGGTCCTTCTCGCTGCTCCCTGGCCATGTGGCCTTGAGTGAGGTGCTCGCCCGCTCCTGGCCTTGGTTCCCACAGTTCCACGCTGTGTGAGCAGCCCCCGCCTGTCAGCGTCATTGCAAAGCATCCTGTTGGTGGTGATCACAGCCCCTGGCTGCAAAGCCCCTAGTTGCGAAGCCCCTGGTTGCAAAGCCCCCGCAGGTACCGGACACAAAAACGCAGAGATGTCCAGGGGGGGCTGCCTGTAGGGGGGCTACACGCTCAAGGTGAGGACAGCTGGCCGGCCACCCCGGTGCTCAAGGGCTCGTGTGTACTTGAGTATCCATCTCTATTCCATACCCACAGCGGCTGCACAAGCAGGCTCCGCTCCTGTGCCTATTATAGAGATGGTAACCCTGAGGCATGGGAACATGGAGGCCCTGACACCAGGCTGCTGATGAGCTGAATGCTGGTAAGGCACACAGCTTCAAGCCGGACTCCACCAATGACAGCCACAGTGGGCCACCGCCTTCCCTGTCTCCCTGCGTCGGCCATAGGACCTGGGTCTGGTGCCCATCACTCCCGGGCCTCCTCCTCGGGACAGGCAGGAGGGGGCCCTCGCCAGGTGCCACAGCTGCCAGCATCCCACAGTCCTGAAGTGTCCCGAGATGAAAATGCCACCCCCCTCACCCCTCAACCTGACGTCCAGGAAAGGACATCTGGGACCTGCTCAGGTCAGGTCTAAGAACCCAGTGTGCGGCCCTGCAGCTGGGAAGTGCCTTTGTCCTGGTCCCTTTCTCTCTCTCCACCTGACCACTCCACCTGGCCCTGGAGAGCCACCAAATGCCTCAGTCAGCATCCACTCGGGCTTCCAGGCCGGTGTTTGTCCCCAAATCACCTTGCATCTCTCTGCCTTCTCGGAGGTGAGGGAGAGAGGAAGAGACTCTGGAGGCAGAGCAAGCTGGCCAGAGGACAGGGACAGAGGAGTGCAGAGCCTCAGCTGCCCAGCCCAGCCCCAAGCTCTCCATGTGACTCTGCGCCGCCCCATGCCGCCTCCCTGCTATTTCTGGAGCCACCTACTCATACCCTCAGCTGTCACAGGCAGCAGGGCCTGCGCCCGGCATCACCAGGCACACAGAGGCCAGCCTCCCTTAGCAAAAGATCTGCAGCCACTTCCCCTCTGATCCTCCTGCAAAAGACCCAAGGTACTTGGCCCAAGGAGCCCAAGGCCCAAGGTGACAACAGCTGACCAATTGCAACCTGCTGCGGAACACACAGCCTCCTCTGTCCATGGGGCCCTAGGGGTGAGATGGGGCTGGGGTTCCCGGAGTCCTTCAACTTCTTATTTTAGAAAAATTTTAAAGTTTACAGAGCCGGGCATAGTGGCGCATGCCTGTAATCCTAGCACTCGGGAGGCTGGGGCAGGAGGTTAGTTGCAAGTTCGAGACCAGCCTGGGCTACAAAGTGAGTTCAAGGCCAGCTTGAACTGCATAGTGAGACCCTGTCTCAAAAAAAACCAAAAATAAATAAATAGATAAATAAAATGAAGTATACAGAATAAGTATACAGAATGTTTGTGGTGGCGCACACCTGTAATCCCAGCAATCAGGAGGCTGAGGCAGGAGGATTGCCTGAGTTTGAGGCCAGTGTAAACTATATAGTGAGATCCTGTCTCAAACAAACAAACAAATGAAAATTATATAATATAATGAGCCTGTATGTATCCATTACCCAGCTTCAACAGTTATCAACTAGTGACCAATCTAGTGTCATTCATTCCTGTCCATATTTTCTGTCCCACTTAATTTCACCCATCAGTGTTTCAGTGTGTATCTTTAAGAGCTAAAGACTACAAAAATAAAAGCCAAGGACTTTAACCTAATCACAAAGCACACCCAATTATTAACCTGCTCAATAATTCCTTACTATAAACTTCCAGTGTTCAAATTCCTAATGTCTTATCAGTTCCTTCAGGGCTTTTTTTTTTTCTCCTGTGCAATTGCTTGGTAGTACTGGGGATTGAACACAGGGCTCCATGTACGCGAGGCAAATATTCTGCCACTGAGCTACATCCTGGGCCCTTGTTTGTTTGTTTGGTTGGTTGTTTGGGTTTTTTGCTTTGTTTTGTTTTTGCCTTTTTGAGACAGGGTCTCACTATGCAGTAAGGCTGGCCTTGAGCTCACTTTGTAGTCCAGGCTGGTTTCGAACTCGCAAGGATCCTCCTGCCTCAGCCACCTGAACACTGGGATTACAGGCGTGCGCCACCACACCCAGCTGGTTGGTTGGTTTTTTGAGACAGAGTCTCGCTATACAGTTGAGGCTGGCTTTGAACGTGCTATGCAGCCCAAGGTAGGCCTCAAACTCATGATTTTCTTGCTGTACCACACCCAGCTGGTTACTGTAAGAGATGGGGTCTCACTGTGGTGGTCTTGAACTCCCGGGCTCAAGTAATCCTCTTGCCTCAGCCTCCTGAGTAGCTGGGAATACTGGTGCTAGCCTCAGTCCTCAGCTAATTTCTTAAAAAAAACACACACACAAGTATTGGTTTGGTTTGAATAGACTTCAAATAAGGTGAACATATGCTGCTAATGATGGTGATTGAATGCAGGCCCTTTGTACCAAGCTACATCCCAGACCTTTTTTACTTTTGCATCAGGGTGTGGCTAAACTGCTCAGGCTGGGCTTGAATTTGTGATTCTCCTGCCTCAGCCTCCCAGAGTACTGGGATCACAGGCATATGCCACCATGCCCAGGTATTACAATGATGGACAGTATCTTCTAAGTATCTCCACATCTCTAGGTTTTTCAGCCATACTGTTCTCTTCCCACCTTCCTTTCCTCTTTCCCTTCCTTCTCTGGCTCTCTCTGTTTGTTGAGGGAGCCCGGCCTGTTGTCCTGAAGTTTTCCACAGACTGGATTTTCCTGACTGGGTCTCTCTGGTTTTCTCTAACATGTTCCCATAACCCCTGCACTTTCTGCAAATGCTCGCTCACGTACAGAGTAGCGTCCTGAAAGGTATAGTTGGATCTGAAGCCCTGATCAGATTTAGGTCCGGTTGTCCCCAGCAAGAGCCCTGCATGGCGGTAGTGTCCTTCCACCTTGAGGCACATTCTACACCATCAGCTTTTTTAGCGGTCGTGTTACTGTTCTGCAAACTGGTGACATTCAAAGTCAATCATCTGGGCTGGGGATTTAGCTCAGCGGCAAA